AATCATTAGTATACAACATTATAATTCTACAACACTGTTTATTACAAGTCTCACCATGGTCTCGCACCAAAGTACATCTGTTACATGTTAGTGCCACATGAACCAAGGAAGAGAGAGATGTTTTGTTTTTATGTGTCACAGCTTTGACATAAAAGCAGTAAAGTATACTGTAGTACTGTACTGTAAAGTATACTGTAGTACTGTGATGTAAAGTATACTGTAGTACTGTACTGTAAAGTATACTGTAGTATCCATCCATCCATCCATTTTCTTCCGCTTTATCCGTTGCCGGGTCACGGGGGCAGCAGTCTAAGCAGAGACGCCCAGACTTCCCTATCCACACACACCTCCTCCAGCTCGTCCGGGGGGACCCCAAGGCGTTCCCAGGCCAGCTGAGAGACATAGTCTCTCCAGCGTGTCCTGGGTCTTCCCCGGGGCCTCCTCCCGGTGGGACGTGCCCGGAACACCTCCCCAGGAAGGCGTCCAGGAGGCATCCTGAACAGATGCCCGAGCCACCTCAACTGGTTCCTCTCGACGTGGAGAAGCAGTGGCTCTACTCCGAGCTCCTCCCGTGTGACTGAGCTCCTCACCCTATCTCTAAGGGAGCGCCCAGCCACTCTGCGGAGGAAGCTCATTTCGACCGCTTGTATCCGCGATCTCGTTCTTTCGGTCATTACCCACAGCTCATGACCATAGGTGAGGGAGGGGACGAAGATTGACCGGTAAATTGAGAGCTTTGCCTTTCGGCCCAGCTCCCTCTTTACCACAACGGTCCGATACAGCGACCGCATCACTGCGCACGCTGCACCGATCCGCCTGTCAATCTCACGCTCCATCCTTCCCTCACTCGTGAACAAGACCCCGAGATACTTGAACTCCTCCACTTGAGGAAGGACCTCTCCACCCACCTGAAGAGGGCAAGGCACCTTTTTCCGGTCGAGCACCATGGCCTCGGATTTGGAGGTGCTGATTCTCATCCCAGCCGCTTCACACTCGGCTGCAAACCGTCCCAGTGCATGTTGCAGGTCCTGGTTCGTTGGAGCCAGCAGGACGACATCATCCGCAAAAAGTAGAGATGAAATCCTGTGGTTCCCGAACCGGACCCCCTCCGGCCCCTGGCTGCGCCTAGAGATTCTGTCCATAAATACAGTGAACAGAACCGGTGACAAAGGGCAGCCTTGGCGGAGGCCAACATGCACCGGGAACAGGTCTGACTTACTGCCGGCAATGCGGACACAGCTCTGGCTCCGGTCTTACAGGGACCGAACAGCCCTCAGCAGAGGACCCCGAACCCCGTACTCCTGGAGGACCCCCCAAAGGACACCCCGGGGAACACGGTCGAACGCCTTCTCCAAATCCACAAAGCACATGTGGACAGGTTGGGCGAACTCCCATGAACCCTCGAGTATCCGATGGAGAGTATAGAGCTGGTCCAGTGTTCCGCGACCGGGACAAAAACCACACTGCTCCTCCTGAATCCGAGATTCGACCATCGGACGTAGCCTCCTCTCCAGTACCTTGGAGTAGACCTTACCGGGGAGGCTGAGGAGTGTGATCCCACGATAATTGGAACACACCCTCCGGTCCCCCTTCTTGTAGAGAGGGACCACCACCCCGGTCTGCCACTCCATTGGCACTGCCCCCGATCGCCACGCGATGTTGCAGAGACGTGTCAGCCAAGACAGTCCTAGAACATCCAGAGACTTTAGATAGTCAGGTATGGGTCTCATCCACTCCCGGCGCCTTGCCACCATGGAGGCTGCCAACCACCTTGGTGACCTCGGCCAGGGAGATGGAAGTATCCGCCCCAACATCCTCAGCCTCTGCCTCCTGGACGGAGGACGTGACGGGGGGATTGAGGAGAACCTCGAAGTATTCCTTCCACCGCCCGACAATATCCCCAGTCGAGGTCAGCAGCCCTCCACCCGCACCATACACGGTGTTGGCAAAGAACTGCTTCCCCCTCCTGAGGCGCCGGACGGTTTGCCAGAACCTCTTCGAGGCCGACCGATAGTCATGCTCCATGGACTCTCCGAACTCCTCCCAGTCCCGGGTTTTTGCCTCTGCAACAGCCCGGGCCGCGGCACGTTTGGCCTGCCGGTACTGGACAGCTGCCTCAGGAGTCCCACGAACCATCATTGCTCGATAGGACTCCTTCTTCAGCCTGACGGCATCTCTTACTGCCGGTGTCCACCACCGGGTTCGGGGATTGCCGCCGGGACCAGCACCAGAGACCTTGCGACAACAGCTACGAGCCGCTGCATTGGCGATAGAGGAAGTGAACATGGTCCACTCGGACTCGATGTCCCCCTCCTCTGCCGGGACCTGGGAGAAGCTCTCCCGGAGGTGTGAGTTGAAAGTCCGTCTGACAGGGGGCTCAGCAAGACGTTCCCAGCAAACCCTCACTACACGCTTGGGCCTGCCAGGTCTGACCGGCCTCCTGCCCTGCCAGCGGATCCAATTCACGACCAGGTGATGATCGGTTGACAGCTCCGCCCCTCTCTTCACCCGAGTGTCCGAAACACGCGGTCGAAGGTCAGATGATACGACTACAAAGTCGATCATCGACCTCCGGCCTAGGGTGTCCTGGTGCCACGTGCACTGATGGACACCCTTGTGCTCGAACATGGTGTTCGTGATGGACAGGCCGTGACTGGCACAGAAGTCCAACAACTGAACACCGCTCGGGTTCAGATCAGGGGGGCTGTTCTTCCCGATCACCCCTCTCCAAGTGTCACTGGCATTTCCCACATGGGCGTTGAAGTCCCCCAGGAGAATAACGGAGTCCCCGGGCGGTGCACTGTCCAGTACCCCTCCCAAGGACTCCAAGAAGGCCGGGTACTCTGCACTACCGTTAGGCCCGTAGGCTGTCACAACAGTGAGAGACTTGTCCCCCACCCGGAGGCGGAGGGACGCGACCCTCTCATTCACCGGGGAGAACTCCAACACGTGGCGGCTGAGATGGGGGGCAATGAGTATGGCCACCCCAGCTCGCCGCCTCTCCCCGCGAGAAACACCAGAAAAGTGGAGCGTCCAACCCCTCTCAAGGAGTTGGGTTCCAGAGCCCAAGCTGTGTGTGGAGGTGAGGCCGACTATCTCTAGTCGGTATCGCTCAACCTCCCCCACAAGCTCGGGCTCCTTCCCCCCCAGTGAGGTGACGTTCCACGTCCCAAGAGCCAGATGTTGGGTGTGTGGACTGGGTCGTCGAGGTCTCCGCCTTCGACTGCTGCCCAGTCCTCTCTGCACCTCGCCACCACGGCCCCCTCTGCAGGTGGTGGGCCCACAGGAGGGACTGCCCACGTCATCCCTTCGGGCTGAGCCCGGCCGGGCCCCGTGGGCTAAGGCCTGGTGCTCGCAAGCGACTGTAAAGTATACTGTAAAGCAGCCATTCCCAAACTCAGTAACACCGAGGCCCCCTTAAAAATCTGACGGGTCTGCGTGGCCCCCCAAAATAATAACCAAGAAGACAACATTAAGAATAGGCTCTTCTGGTTATTTTATTTTGGGGAAATAGCCTCTGCTACAAACATTGTAATACAAAAATGATTACAGTGGATTATTCAAGTCAAATAATGAACACAAATATTTTAATATTACAAACAAAACATTATACATTTAACATTAAATAATTATATTATTTTTTTATTTTTTTTATGACCTCCCGCGGCCCCCCTGCAGACCCCACTTTGGGAGACACTGCTGTAAAGTATACTGTAGTACTGTGATGTAAAGTATACTGTAGTACTGTGATGTAAAGTATACTGTAGTACTGTACTGTATTGAGTTGATATAATTTGTAACCTTTCAGTACTACTGAGAACCAAAACATTTCAATTGAGCTTCACAGAAAACAAACTGATAAACAGAATAAAAACAGTGAAAAGTACTGTAGTGTTTTATATAAAGTACTGCAGTGTTTTATATAAAGTACTGCAGTGTTTTATATAAAGTTCTACAGTATTTTAAATAAAGTACTGCTGTGTTTTATATAAAGTACTGTAGTGTTTTATATAAAATACTGTAGTGTGTTGCTTCCAATCTGAAAGTGTGTTCACGTGATACAAGTGTGTGTCATTTTGTCCTCAGAGTTTCATTTTGACAAATGATTGTTTAGATTTGAGAGCAGAGTTTGAGTTTTGATAATGGAGTTTCATTTTGAGACAGATGTGTTTGGTCTATGTCCCAGTGTGTGTCAGGTTTTCTTGTGTGTAGAGTTTTGGGACGATGAGCAAAATTTCGCAAAATGTGTTCAAGCAACAGGAAAAAACTGTAACTAGAGAAGCCTGCTAAAAGGGGGGGTGTAGCGCCTGGGTTCAATCCCCATCGTCTCCAAGGTGTTTTTAATCAAAATAAATATTCCATCTTATAATTGCACATCTTGAAAACAAGTTGTTGCATAACCAGCTGTGATAATATCATACCTAAAGGGGGCGTGGCTTAGTGGCAGAGTGCATGCTTTGTATGTTTTGAGGTCCAGAGAGACTGGCCTCCTGCTGGGACTCTGAGTGACAGTTGTACATACACACCACAGACATAACTGTCATGGTTTAGTTTTCGAACCCCAAAACAGAGGGAGGCCCAAGCACTTTAACAAAAGTCTTTAATAACCAAAAATACAAAATACTCAAAAATGGTTGGAGCAGTGGAGACAGGGAGCAGGCCGGCCGAAGAGCAGAGCAGAGACACGAGGACTGGACGAGCACAGGATCTGGAATTGTAACAGGAAGGTGAGTAATCCACAAACTCAGGTAAGTAGTGAAGAACACGGCGTGGTATTACCGATAAGACGGAATTATCTGGCAGAGGAGTGATGAGCAGACCAGGGTTATATACTGAGGTGAGTGGAGTGAGTGGATGCAGGTGTGTCTGGTCAGCAGCCCAGCAGAGACCGGCCACGCCCCCCAGCAGAGACCAGCCACGCCCCCTGTCTCACACATGCTCTGGAAAGAAAGATGGGGGCAGAGACCAAAAACAAACAGAACCATGACAATAACAACTGTATGGAAAGAGCTGTTTTGCAGGAGCCCACACGGAGCTCCTCCTCCCTCCTCCGCTCGGCTCCTCCAGCTGCGAGGCCACCTGTGCCACGCCTCCAGAGCCCTGTGGACGTCCAGCGTTTTGGTTTTGTTCTGTTTTTTTTGTGACATTTTTTTTTTGCGTTGAACCAAGTACAGCTGCTGTGATCCGCCCAACGAGTTTTATTTTTACATTTACACCAACAGAAAAAACCACGAGGCGTTTCTTGCACACACAAAAAAAAAACAAGTATGAAAAAGATAAGAAGATAAGAGATCCTTTATTTGTCCCTCAGTGGGGACATTTCAGTGTTGCAGCACACAGGCAGGACAGTAGCAAGAGCAGGGAGCACACAAAATATACTAAATAAGTAGTAGCTATGTTTCGTAGCTAGCTGTAAATGCACAGAGAGCTGCACAAGTGATCTGGCCTTGTGTAGGTCACAACGACTCCGATTGTGTATCTGCTCCGATTGTGTATCTGCTCCGATTGTGTATCTGCTTCGATCGTGTATCTGCTCCGATTGTGTATCTGCTCCGATTGTGTATCTGCTCCGATTGTGTATCTGCTCCGATTGTGTATCTGCTCCGATTGTGTATCTGCTTCGATCGTGTATCTGCTCCGATTGTGTATCTGCTCCGATTGTGTATCTGCTCTGATTGTGTATCTGCTCCGATTGTGTATCTGCTCTGATTGTCTATCTGCTCCGATTGTGTTTCCGTGTTATGACTCCAACATGATTGTTTCAAATAATCAGGATAACTGAGATGAATACATTTAAAAATAATAGCCAGTGAAATTGTCGTCTGGAGGATGGAGTGAGCCCAGAGAGATGTTCAGCTGACAGTGGTGAGTTCTGAAGGGACAACGGAGAATGAACCTACACAGACTATTATAAATAACATTAAGTGGCTGAAGATTTGTAGCAGAAGTGTTTTGATAAACAATATCACAATAATCAAGAATGAGAAGTAAAAGTTGAGTGACAATCCTCTTTCTCACTGAGAAACTAAAGCAATTAATAGATTGATAAAGTAATTTCAAACAATTTTTGTGATTTTATTGGCAACAAAATGTATGTGAGAAATAAAAGAAAGGTTGGAGTCAAGCCATAAACACAAATATTTGAATGTCTCGACAGGTAATCTGCACAATATTGAGTGCGCCAGCTGTTTTTATCGTAAAATAACATTGAATGTGATGGTTTTATTAAGAAGTAGCTTGTTTTCTTGAAGCCAGTGCTGTACGTTATTGAAATCAAATTGGAGAGAGTTTTGAATATCAATGATGTTAGGTTTTGAACTGTAAATAATAGTATCATCTGCATAAAGTTGAATATTGCAATCTCTGCAGGCGAGGGGAAGATCATTGATAAAAATTGAGAATAAGAGTGGTCCAAGTGATGAACCCTGCGGCACGCCTCTGTCAATGGTTTTAAAATCAGAATGATTACCTTCAAAAGAAACGCATTGTTGGCGAAAATGAAGATAAGAGTTGAACCAGAAAAGAGAGTTCCTATCAAGACCAATTGAGTGTAGTTTATCTAACAGAAGATAATGATCAACCATATGGAATGCTTTTGAAAGGTCGATAAATAATGCACCAGTAAGAAAATTATAGTCAAAACCAGTAAAAATGTAATTTGTGAACTTGGATAATGCAGAAGTTGTTGAAAAAGATGGTCTAAAACCAGACTTAAAATGAGATAAAATATTGTTGCAAGACAAGTAATCAGATAGTTGATTGAAAATTATGTTTTCAAAAAGTTTGACAATACAATTAATAATCGATATGGGCCTACAGTTATTCACATTGCAGGGGTCACCACCTTTGTGAAGGGGAATTACTCTTACACGTTTCCAGTCAGAGGGCACTTCAAAGGTAGAAAAAGATCTGCTAAGGGAAAAGAAAGAACAGCCCTGATACCATCAGGGCCATCAGGGCCAGCACTTGAATTAGTAGACAGTCCATTCATGGCCTGCTGAACATCAGTTGGACTTATTTGTCTGAAAGAAAAAGAACTACTGCATAACATAGAAGAACAAAGAGACAAGATTGGTTGAGAGGGAGGCTGCATCTAACGAGGAAAAGTGCTGACTAAGTGCATTTGCAATCATTTCAGGATCTGATGTAGGTTAGTTATTAATAATCATGTTTGTTGAAGAACGATCAGATATACCAAGTAAGGTGTTGAGTTGTTTCCAGAATTGCCTAGGATTTTTAAAGTTATCATACAGACAGTTTTTATAGTAATTAGATTTGGCATTTGTGGTTTGTGTTGTACAGTTGTTTCTAAGCAGCTTGTAAGCTTTCCAGTCATCCGAATCATGTGTGAGGCGATACTTTTTCCATGCTTTGTCTCTTTGTTTAAAAAGATGCAGCAATTCACCACTCACGCAAGGAAGATGATTCCCTTTTACTTTGAACACTTTAAGAGGAGCATGAGTGTCAATTACATATTGAAGTTCATCATAGAAAAAATTCCAGGCCTCGTAAATACAAGGTATTCATTTTAGTCTATTCCAGTTTATACTGTACACAGTACTGTGACATCTCAATAGTACAGTACTGTGTACTTTACTGTATTGTATGTTTCACAGAGCTGCCAGTGTTTTCTGTCACACAATGTGTTTGGTATTTTAAATAGATGTGTTTTCCCAATGATATCACAGGATTGTGTAGTGAGCAGGAGAAAGTGTGTTGTAAAAAGAGAAAGTGTGTTGTAAAAAGAGAAAGTGTGTTGCAGAGAGAGAAAGTGTGTTGCAGAAAGAGAAAGTGTGTTGCAGAAAGAGAAAGTGTGTTGTAAAAAGAGAAAGTGTGGTTGAAAAAATATATATATATTTTTAAACCATTTATAAAACATATAATGACAGAGGAGTTCCATGATCCCAGGACTTCCTCTGCTCTCTCTGGTCCCTTTCTGGTCCCTCTCTGGTCTCTCTCTTGTCCCTCTCTGGTTTGGGCGGCACGGTGGCTGAGTGGATAGCACTCTCGCCTCTCAGCAAAAAGGTCCTGGGTTCGAATCCCGGTTGGACCAGGGCCTTTCTGAGTGGAGTTTGCATGTTCTCCCCGTGTCTGCGTAGGTTTCCTCCGGGTACTCCGGTTTCCCCTACCACTAAAAATATGTACAATAGGTCTGGCATGTGCCTCCTGTACTGGCCCCACTCCCAAAAATCACAATTGTAAACCGCTTTGAGACTCTGATGTGCAGTGAAAAGGCGGTATATAAATAAAGATTACTTACTACTACTTACTACTTACTCTGGTCTCTCACTGGTCTCTCGCTGGGGTCTGTCTGCTCTCTCTGGTCTCTCCCTGGTCTCTCTCCGGTCACTCTGGTCTCTCTCTAGTCATTTAACTTTTCTCTTTCTGTCGGACCAACGACCTCTTACTATGGAAACGGAAAAGTTAGAGACCCGAGCTTTAAGTGAAAGCGACTGAGCAGTTTGTGGAAACCTTTACATCAGATTAAAACATTTCCGTCTTCACAAGAAAAAGTGATGATGACGAGATAAGAACAGGTTCAAGAGACAGCGATCAGTAAGACCAGACTCAGACCAGACCTAGTCCTGGTTTAGTCCTGCTTCAGATCTGCTTCAGACCTGCTTCAGACCTGCTTCAGACCTGCTCCAGACCTGCTTCAGACCTGCTTCAGACCTGCTTCAGACCTGCTTCAGACCTGCTTCAGACCTGCTTCAGACCTGCTCCAGACCTGCTTCAGACCAGCTTCAGACCTGCTTCAGACCTGGTTCAGACCTAGTTCAGACGTGGTTCAGACCTGGTTCAGACCTGGTTCAGACCATGGCCATCAGAGTCTTGCTTCTGTCCCTTTGCTGTTTGGGTAAGTGTTAGTTTGAATTCTCTTATTCTCAGGTGTTTTTCAGAGTTTTTCTTTGTTTTGTTTAAACGTAAACAGATAAATATCAAGTTTGGTCTCTTCTTGAGCCTTTCAAATGTGCCGCTAATAATGATAATAATAATATAGTTGTGATAAGAATGCACGGCTGATGGAGAATCTTCACATTGATCTGTTCTAAGTCTCAGGTTTGTGGTGTTGTTGTGAGGGGGTTTTCTTCTGAATAATTAGAAACAAAATACATCTAAATCAAAAGAAACCTTGTAGATCCTTGTTTGTTGGTGATTTAGGTCCCCGAGCTTTAGTCCTTAAAGCCACAGAGGAGGAGAGGAAGCGTCTCCATGGAGACACCAGAGACACTCCTGTTTGGCCTCTCTCTAATCTCTTTCTGATCTCTTCCTGGTCTCTCTCTGGTCTCTCTCTGGTGTCTCTCTCTGGTCTCCCTCTGGTCTCTCCCTGGTCTCTCTCTGGTCTCTCTCTGTTCTCTCTCTGGTCTCTCTCTCTGGTCTCTCTCTGGCCTCACTCTGGTCTCTCTCTCTGGTCTCTCTCTCTGGTCTCTCTCTGGTCTCTCTCAGGCCTCACTCTGGTCTCTCTGTGGCCTCTCTCTGGTCTCTCTCTGGTCTCTCCCTGGTCTCTCTCTCTGGTCTCTCTGGTCTCTCTCTGGTCTCTCCCTGGTCTCTTTCTCTGGTCTCTCTTGTCTCTCTCTGGTCTCTCTCTGGTCCCTCTGGTCTCTCTTTGATCTCTCTCTGGTCCCTCTCTAGTCTCTCTCTGGTCTCTCTCTGGTCCCTCTGGTCTCTCTCTGGTCTCTCTCTGGTCTCTTTGTGATTTGCTGCACAGCCCGAGTGCGACAGTGTTCCTCAGTTGTGTGTCGCCCTGTGTCATGTGACCCACAGCCGCCATTTTGTAACACAATTTCTCTGTGTGCAGGGGTCTTGGGAGACACACACCACGCATCAGGTAACACACACACACATTACTCATCAGATAACACACACACACACACACAACTCATCAGGTAACACACGCACACACACAACCCATCAAGTAACACACACAAACACACACAATTCATCAGGTAACACACACACACACACACACATACAATTCATCAGGTAGCACAGAAACACAACTCATCAGTTAACACACACACAACTCATCAGGTAAAACACACACAATTCATCAGGTAACACACAAACACAACCCATCAGTTAACACACACACACCACCCATCAAGAAAGACACACATACTCAACTCATCAGGTAACAGACACACACACAGCTGATAATGTGTGTGTTTTCCTTTAGGTCCAGTCCTGTCAGTGTCTGTGGATGTAGTGACTCCTGTTCCAGGGTCTTACAGTCTGAGGCTGGAGGGAGGAGCCAGTCGCTGTCAGGGGGAGGTGCAGCTGCAGAGACCAGGTCTGGACTGGACTCCACTGGGTTCAGTCTATTCTGATGTTCCTCTGCAGTTTGGATCCAGACTTTGCTCTGAGCTGGACTGTGGCTCTGCTCTGTCTGTGAAGAGAAAAAAAATTCCAAAACAAAAAGTTGTGAAAGTCAAAACAGACTGTGATGAACCAGAACTGATCGACTGTTTTTTATCAAGAAACATCTAACTCTCGTCAAAGTCTGCAGCTCAAGTGCTCAGGTCAGACACACTCACTGGTCACACTACACCGTATTTAGGCTTAATAAATGTTGAAATAATACTTATTTGGTTTGACAGTGAGTCAGAAGGAGGCACAGGTTTGAGAGTGAGTCAGAAGGAGGCGCAGGTTTGAGAGTGAGTCAGAAGGAGGCGCAGGTTTGAGAGTGAGTCAGAAGGAGGCGCAGGTTTGACAGTGAGTAAGAAGGAGGCGCAGGTTTGACAGTGAGTAAGAAGGAGGCGCAGGTTTGACAGTGAGTCAGAAGGAGGCGCAGGTTTGAGAGTGAGTCGGAAGGAGGCGCAGGTTTGACAGTGAGTAAGAAGGAGGCACAGGTTTGACAGTGAGTAAGAAGGAGGCGCAGGTTTGACAGTGAGTCAGAAGGAGGCGCAGGTTTGACAGTGAGTCAGAAGGAGGCGCAGGTTTGACAGTGAGTCAGAAGGAGGCGCAGGTTTGACAGTGAGTCAGAAGGAGGCGCAGGTTTGAGAGTGAGTCAGAAGGAGGCGCAGGTTTGACAGTGAGTAAGAAGGAGGCGCAGGTTTGACAGTGAGTCAGAAGGAGGCGCAGAGACCAGGAGGTACAGAGGTTTAATAAAGTGGGACATTTGTATAAACTATTCAATAGTACATAATCTGTTGAAACACTGCCCCCCACTGTAGCAAAGGGAACTGCTCCACAAAGCACAGAGTCAGAGACATCCACAGACATTCATAACAAACAATATCATTATTATACATATACATATTGTACAATATGTAAGGGATAACGTATATTACGCAGGTCATTATCGGAAAATAAGTACCGACAGGGCGAAGCGGACCCCGACGTGCGTCTGCTTCCGCCCTAAAGTAATATACGTTATCCCGCTTATTATGCGGCTTTATCACACGCTCCTCACAGCAGCAGTATAACGCTCCATTGATTTGAATGTCATTTCAAAACGTTCAACCGGTCATTATTTTCTATAACCGACCTCTCAAAACAATAATGACCGCTGCCCATGGCAACGCACTCTGTGCTTGTCTTTCAGATGCGTGGATAACTCCGCAAGTAGTTCCGGCCACTCCGGAGCTAGCCACGCTCAATAAACGGAAATGCCAATCAATCAAAGCAATGAAATATTAATCGGAGAGTACATTATACATATACAGTCTTAATACAAGTGCACGGAAGTTTTCAGAATTTTCCGTTTACGATTTCATGACAAAAACACTGATGTAATGCGAGAAAAGGCGATCCCGAAAAACCCGGAAGTAGATACCGCTGCGCGTCGGGGTCCGCTTCGCCCTGTCAGTACTTATTTTCCGATTATGACCTGCGTAATATACGTTATCCCTTACTTATACCAACAGAACACACAACATAAACTTCAGTCCACTTTTAGGAATGCCGAAAGGTTTATTTAATGACAGAAAATAAAATAGTTCCCAAAGGCTTTCCCGTGGCTATGCTAGCAACAGTTAGGCTGGCAACTTCCAAACTAGAACTCTCTGGAACTGCATGAAAACTGAACAAAGAATTCTGAACATCAGCGGTGAGTGACCCAAATATAAACCTAACCTAAATCCATGATTCGAGCCTCTGCAAATGTGTCCGAAAATGTGCCGGTATCTTAAAATGTGCCGGTATCTACTTCCGGGTTTTTCGGGATCGCCTTTTCTCGCATTACATCAGTGTTTTTGTCATGAAAACGTAAACGGAAAATTCTGAAAACTTCCGAGCACTTGTATTAAGACTGAATATGTATAATTTACTCTCCGATTAACATTTCATTGCGTTGATTGATTGGCATTTGCGTTTATTGAGCGGCCGGAACTACTTCCGGGTTTTTCACGATCGCTTTTTGACGCAGAGAAATTGTATTTTTGTCATGAAAATTTCCGTGCACGTGTGTGAAGAATGTATATGTATAAGTATTCTCCGATTAACATTTAAGTGTGCTGATTGAGCGTGGCTAGCTCCGGAGTGGCCGAAACTACTTGCGGAGTTATCCACACATTTGAAAGACGAGCAGAGAGTGCGTTGCCAAAGGGCAGCGGTCATTATTGTTTTGAGAGGTCCGTTATAGAAAATAATGACCGGTAGAACGTTTTGAAATTACATTCAAATCAATGGAGCGTTCTACTGCTGCTGTGAGGAGCTGTATAATAAAACAGTTTAATACAAACACATGTGAACGTTCTATCTTCAGTTTAATCAAAGACAGCCCCTGATGCTGTCACACACAGGAGAAAGTACAGACACAACACAACAGGGAGAGCAACACAGAGAACAACACAGCTTTTTATGGACACGCTACAACACAATACAAAACAGAGACACAATTACATACACCAGGACTCAACAAAGGATGACAAAAGATATACAATACACACACACATTTTAGTTAATATTTCTGGCTCCATTGACCTGAATGCACAGAAATCTTGGGTCCCCAGGGGCTCGGTGAAAGTATTTATTTGAATGGTACATGTCTCACAGTGATGTCTGCTGTGGAGCTCTGTGTCCAGAGTTTGATGAAGTCCTCTCTGTCTCAGACTCTGTGTCCAGAGTGTGATGAAGTCCTCTCTGTCTCAGACTCTGTGTCCAGATTGTGATGAAGTCCTCTCTGTGTCCAGAGTGTGATGAAGTCCTCTCTGTCTCAGACTCTGTGTCCAGATTGTGATGAAGTCCTCTCTGTGTCCAGATTGTGATGAAGTCCTCTCTGTCTCAGACTTTGTGCGGCTGGTTGGAGGCTCTGGTCTCTCCTCTGGATCACTGCAGATATGGGACCAGTCCTGGATCCCGGTCTGTGAAGGGGCCTTGGACCTGCGGGGAGCAGAGGTGCTGTGCAGGGAGCTGGGCTGCGATGATCCTTCTGTCCTCCAGGGGGAGCTCTCTCCTCTGGGGCCGACGTTCCACTGTGAGGGCCATGAGTCTGCTCTGATGGACTGTCCCCGCTCCAGACCCAAGACCTGTTTCTCTGGACCCAGTGAGGACATCATCTGCTCAGGTGAGGGGTGGGGCTTATGTGAAGGGCGGGGCTTATGTAAGGGGCGGGGCTTCACTTTATCTCGTGTTGCTGTTGCTCAAAGCCGCTCAGGCTGGAGGGAGGAGCCAGCCGCTGTGCTGGGATCCTGGAGCTCGGATACAGAGGAGAGTGGAGACGAGTGGATCCTGGATCCTGGAGGAGACAGCAGCTGTGTGCAGAGACCTGGACTGTGGATCTGCTGTTTCTGACACATTGGTGTCTGATTTATCAAAGAGTCCTGGATGGGGGGTCTCATGGTCCTGTGTGAAGAAGTTTCCATTGAGAGAATGTGCTGTGCCCTATGACTGCTCCTCAGCCTCTGGTCTGAAGGTGAAGTGTTCAGGTGAGAGTCCAAGTCTGAACTAAATGTTTTCTTGACACTAATATTCCTCCTGTTCGTCATGTCCCTCACACCTGTGTTCTATTGTCTCACAGTGATGTCACATGTGTTCTATTGTCTCACAGTGATGTCACATGTGTTCTATTGTCTCACAATAGACAGTTAAGTTTAGGCATGAATAGGTAGTTTTTTCTATTTACTTCCGCTTCCGTCCAGATTCCGTAACGTAATCTACTGCAGCGTATGCTCATTGGATCAAACTGAACTTCCGGACGAATCCGGTTTCCGGGACGAATACGGGAGTGACAGTCACATATGTTCTATTGTCTCACAGTGATTTCACATGTGTCCTATTGTCTCACAGTGATGATGTCACATGGGTCCTATTGTCTCACAGTGATGATGTCACATGGGTCCTATTGTTTCACAGTGATGATGTCACATGTGTCCTCACAGTACAATACAATTTATTCTTGTATAGCCCTAGGTCACAACAGAAGTCATCTCAGAGACTTAACAAAACCATTGAAATCACCAACACAGGTCAGAGAATCAACAGTTAACACACATGAAAAATATAAAGCACACACAGAAAAAAATGTCCATACATGTTGTAGAATGCTAAAGTGTCCTGATCATCACCAATCCTTTCTGTTGGACACTAACTGTCCAACAAGACCCTCCTGCATTGACAAGGAAAAACTCTTAAAAAACCCAGTGGTAAAAAGTGAGAAACCTTGGGGAGAACTAGGGAAACCCACAGGGAGGGAGACCCATTTGAGAAAGGGATCCGCTCCTCCGGACGGACAGGCTAATGATCCAGGACCTAAGCTAGCTACAGAACGTGGACCAGTGGCCGCTGAACGTGGACAGGTCCGGTGCAGGACTGAAGCACTCCCAGGCGGGTCGGGCAGGGCAGTCCGCAGGTGTAGATGGAGGCCAGGCTCAGAGATCCCGTCATTGTACCATGAAACAGACAATGGGACAACGGGTGAATAGCAACGAACAAACTACAGTCAAAATCCTAATAATGATAAACAGATAAAGTAGGAAGGAGGAGAGGATAGTGCTCAAGTTACCATACTTCTCCAGCAGGGGGCTCCCTATGCAGCTTAATTGACAGGAGTTTAGCCTTCCCTGAGTCTTACCTTCCTAGCCATATGCTAAACTAAAGAGGACTGTTTTAAACCTAGCCTTGAATAAAGAGCGCGTATCTGAAAGGAGGTGAGACAGCAGCAGCCACGGCTAGGCTAGTCTAGGCTACAGCACCAAGATTCATGGATTGCACACCAGGTGTGTAGGGGAAGGGTAGTGGTAGGGGAAACCGGAGTACCCGGAGGAAACCTACGCAGACACGGGGAGAACATGCAAACTCCACTCAGAAAGGCCCTGGTCCGGCCGGGATTCAAACCCAGGACCTTCTTGCTGAGAGGCAAGAGTCCTATCCACTCAGCCACCGTGCCGCCCACTATATAATACACAACATAACATACAGCATAATATAACATAATATACAACATAACACAATACACAACATAATACATATATTGTCTAATATATAACATAATATATAACATAATACAGGATATATATATATAATATATACACCATTTATTATATATGACCTAATTATATGCTAAATTAAAGTAGAGTGCTTTAAGCCTGGCCTTGAATGTGGAGACCGTATCTGCTTCCTTAACATAAATGAAGCTGATTCCACAGTAAAGGAGCTTGGTAGCTAAACGCTCTGCCGCCAACAGTGATTTTTGAGACCTTAGGAACCACCAGACGTCTGGCGTTTTGTGAGCGCAACGCTCGACTTGGTTGATACGACACTAACGTGTCTTGGAGATAAGAAGGAGCCAAGCCATTTATGGCTTTATATGTTAAGAGAAGGATTTTAAACTTTATTCTGTACTCCTCAGGGAGCCAGTGGAGTGTTTTCAAATAATAGATTTTTACATCTAAATCATTAATTTGTGGCCTATATAAAGCGTAACTGCAATTCCTGGGTCTGAGTCTCATTATTTGTAGCTCCACGGGCCTTTCTTCTACACCTGTTCTGAGGTGCGTCTGAGAGCAACCTGTTTTGGTGCTGTCGCTTTTGACCACGCCCCCATCCAGGTGACCATTTTTGTAGTTACTAAGCACAGATACTCATTATCTCATAGAAACTTCTCATTACATTGCAAACATGAAGCAGTCCTTCCTCATTGACTGAAAACAAATGTTAAGTTTCATTCTTAGTCCAGTCTTATTACACTGGGTAACAACAAGCTGAAATAGACTAATTTTGATGCTCTGAGTCCGAAAATGACCTTGGTTTTGCTCAATCAGGTCAGGATTTTTTGCTACAGAAATATTTTTTTAATCGATTTTGCGTAAAAAACAAATTTCTGCGGATCATCAGCTGAGAAAGCCTTGACGTTTTTTCCGTTTTCCTCAAGAAATAAAAGTCAACGTATCCAAAGTCATTCAGTTTTTATTTACTCCATCAAATTTGATAAGCAGAATTCATAATAACGTAGACGTACGTAATCCGTAACACTATGGCTGTATCTCAAAAAGTTGACCTGATAAAGCAAAATGCATGTGATATTCGGATTCAGAACACCAACATTAGTCTAAATCAGTTGAGAAACTCCTGACTATTTTTTGGCTGACAACTTGTGTTATCGACTCGTCTCTTTTTAGCTTTCGGATCCATGTCTATGATGCTCACACGCCGGTTTGTTTACAACAGCGGCCGCCTGGCGCGGGCCTACGTCGCAGGATATGACGCACTACGTTGACAGAAATGTTTAAATTGAATATTACTTATGCACAATTTTACAGCATTTAAAAACTTTAAGAAAGTTTTTCCTTCTACAGAAGGAAAGAGACGCATGCGCCTCCAGAGCCGCAGGTTGCCGACTCCTGGTTTATACAGTATGTGGAAGCAAATACTGTAGAGGATCAGGATATGTGCAGTTTCAACAATAAAATAAAATGCAATAGTGTACATTAAAGAGAGTAATAAACATGTCTCAGAGTGAGGGAGGTGGACACAGACAACACTATTGTTTGTTACAGGGATGAGAATTGGTCCAAAAAGACTGAAATGCATATTGTCAGCCATTTGCTGGCTCTAAATCTGTTTAATTTGTTCACAACATATTACTTTTGGGCTCAAAGATGAACTTTTAATGCAATGCAAAATGTAGGTATCAGCTTCATTTAGGGTGTTTAATCGCGCTTCGAGAGGAGACGCGGACTGTTTCCTGCAGCAGTGGGTGCACAGATTACTCAAAGACACGCATGGTCCTGTGCGCAATAATGGGGTTGGGTACATGGCCACGATGAGGCTGCGCACTCAGCCACAACACAGTTGAGCGGCTGCGAGCGGCTGGACGCGGAAGCTGCTCATTACAAAGCGGCCGCAGATGCCCAGGAACACTACGGCCGCTGAGGTGGCGGAATCCCGTTCAAGTACATACAGCAGGTGCCCCGCGGATACACGCGCCCCGCTCAAAAAATTCTCTACGGATTTACACTTCTCATAAACATGTGTTTTGTATGAGGCAGACAGACCGGGCAGATGCCCAATGGGCATCGGCCTTTGGGCATTGCCCGGTACGCCCGATGGCCAGTCCAGCCCTGTTCGCTGGCATCCTTGAGCTTGGACTACAAATTCGAAGTGATGCACAGTAGAGGAGGGCTGGGTCTAAGTGTTTTGTTAGACACCCATGCCCTTATATGGCAGTCTCGCTGAAAATACTGTGACGTAATAATTCTAAACACGTAATAGAGAATGGCAAAATCAGAACAGGTTGAAATATCTTACCTAAACAGAATATGAAGTGTTCTCTGCAACCCATGAAGAAACTGATTTCAACTTTTTTGCACTTCTAGAGGCTCCAACTACACAACATAAGGCTTTTAAGGCACAAAAAAGTGGAATTTTCATGATATGTCCCCTTTAACACCGGAGTTATGTGCTCCCTCCTTTTGGTACCTGTTCAGATCCTAGCTGCTGTATTCTGAACGAGCTGGAAGCTCTTCAAAGAGGTTTTAGGGCATGATGCCAATAAAGCGTTACAGTAGTCAAGTCTTGAGGTGACAAAAGTGTGAATACGTTTTTCCGCGTCACTTTTCGGAAGGAAATTCCTAATTTTAGCGATGTTCCGTAAGTGCAAGTACGCCGTTTTAGTTGCTTGGCTTATATAAGCCTTGAAGGAGAGTTCTTGGTCAAAAATGACTCCAAGATTCCTCACAGTGTTACTGGGTATAATACTGACATTATCGAGAGTGATTATCTGGTTAGTAAGGGAGTCACGCAGGCGCTTCGGACCGAGTAGGATCACTTCTGTCTTCTCCGGGTTGAGAAGTAGGAAGTTAAGAGTCATCCACGTTTTAAGGTCCTTTATGCAGGCACTAAGCTTTTCTAGCTGATCTGTCTGATTTGGCTTCTTCGACAGATAAAGCTGTGTGTTGTCTGCATAGCAGTGGAAAATAATTCCATGCTTTTTAACCCTTTAGGCGCCAGAGTTTTTTCAAGAAAATATACAATTTTGATTTCAAGATTTCAAAAGGCTATAACTTTAAAATGGTTTGAGATAAAGGCATACTGTAAATTAGAAATATCTTCAGTTTGAACCAAACTTTGGGATGGAAGTTGATTCGTCATCTAATTTGCATATTGTGACGTCATCAAGGTGGCGGCCATTTTGGAAAATGTTAATTATTGTATAAAGATTTCAAAAAGCTGTAGCTTGGGAGTTATTTGAGATCAGGGAATACTATAAACAGTCAATGTGAAATATCCTTAGTATGAAATGAATTTGGGATAGAAATAAATTCCCTGATCCAGATTATAGATAATGTTTTAGC